TAAAATAATAATTAAAATAAAAGGGAGCTTGGAGGCAAAAAAAAGAAAAAGAAAAAAAGAGTTAAAGAGAAAAAAAAGTTGTGGTGGTGGTGGTGCACTCACTGTAGGGGGAAGCCGGTACTCATTGGTAACATGTAGGTAATAGAAAACCACCATGAAGGGAGGGGGCCGGTATTGGTAATGTAATGCTGGTGTTATTGGAGGGGCTTCCCGGAGCATTAATTCTGATTGGTTCTTTATTTTCGCCCTTGGAGCGGAGTGCTGCCGCTTTGTGGTGACGGGTCCGTTAGCCAGTAAGTACAGCCTGACCCACTCAACTTTTTTTCGATGAATTATCAGGGCTCAAAAAGAGTGGTCGTTGTAATGCTTTCTCTTTCAATTAGTTATCTTTTTCCCCATTGCTTCTGGATCCCTCTTTCTGTCTTTCCCTCTTGCTGGTGGTTGGCCTTTATCTGGCCCCTTCCCCTCAGTTGTTCGGGTTGTCGACCGGAGTATTGTGGTTATTCTTTCGTAACCCGGCTAAGCTTTCCTTGTCTGAAGGTGCTTTTTTTCTCCTGTTGTTGTCGTCCTATTTTCTTTTTGGTCTTTCTCTACTATTTTACCTTTCTGGCTTACCTTCCTCGAGCGGAATACTCCGCCAACAGTTGTGGCGAATCCCAAAGGAGGGAAGATTTAATAATAATTATAATAAAAAGTAAAAGTAAAAAAGAAGGAGAATAAATAATATATGGTAAGAAGAAAAGAAAAGGGAAAAAAAGAAAAGGTAAGATTGAATTAAAGAAGAAAAAAAAGATAAAAAAATAGAAAAGATTGAAATTCTGGGAATTCAACAACCCCCTTTTCAAACTGTACCTCGACTAAAATCCTCCTATCTTTTTCAAATACCTCTTGCCTACCTACCTATCAACCCCACCTTGAGTTGTTCCGTTATGAAGTGCGCAAGTTTCTGCGTGGGAAGATGTGATGTTGATGTTGATAATCAGACCTAGAACATTTAAGATGTTGATATACTAGACTACTACTACTAGTAATTTATGATAGTGGTTTAGAGCTTGGATAGTCTACCCGCGATTCGGGACGGACGGTGCGCGTCTCGAGTTTGGTCGCAGGGAGACTGTCGTGAACCTAGCGTATGCGCCCGTGGATACCAACCAAGATCGTTGGTCAACGTCCCGGCTGCGGGAGTAGGTAATTTGACCTTAGAGCCTTAGTGAACCAAACGACGATGGGCTAGGGATGGCGTGCCCGAGGAACGGCTTGGAACGGTCTGCGAAAAGAATCAAAGCTAGTGAGAAAGTAGGCGTAGCGCAAATCGGGGGGAAGCGAAGGCCGCGTGCAGGGTCCGTACAGTAAAGTATAGTGGAGGCTCGACAAGAGGGCTGGGCTGTCTTGTCTGTCTGTCTGTCTCTGTCCAAAGTGACAAGAAAGGGGAATGAGTGGCGCGAGTTTAATGGGTAGTAAGCGGGTAAAGTCGATATCACCAATGTATTATAAATCCTCGATACTAACAATAGCAGCAATTTATATTAAAAAGAGAATATCGGTGGTAAAGGGGACAGCGGTTGATGCCGGCGATGGTAACTTCTGGCACGGTCAGGGAAATAATATTAGAATAATAATAAATTAAAAAAGATGAGTTACTTGATCGCAAAAGTCAAGTAGTAGACTTGTGGAGGGGGGTGGGAAAAGAGGAAGAGGAGGAGGGGGGAGGGATAGGAGGGAGAGGAAGAGGAGGGGGGAAGTGGGTGGAACAGGCGCAGAATTGGCTGCTGCTACTGGTGGGAATAAGGGAGAGAGGGAAACCAAAAACATTACCAGCCGTATCCGCAGAGTTGCAAGTCGGTCACCTGTTGCGGTACGGCCGACCTTCAGGGGGAGAACAAGAACAACAAACCGAAGTATGCCCGTGGGCTCGCCAATCACAAGCACGTCTTGCAGTGGAGTCACTTCTTGACCTGAGATAACTACAGCTTCCTTCTCCATATTACTCCGTTCTGTCGCTTCAAATCGGAAGACTTCCTCTCACAGTACCAGAAACAATGGTACAAAGTACTTACTCCCCTGTATTGGGAACCAGTCTCCGATGTGCCCTCCGACCTAGCCCAAAATCGAGAGATTCTGCGCGTTCCTTAGCCCCCTTGAGACCTGCAACTACGGTAGAGCGGATCAGTCAGATGTATGCAGTATAAAGTGCCTAGTATCTAAGTAGGAGGATGGTGTAACCAGTCGAATCCTTATCTTTTGCGCAAGTCAGGAACGCGTCAGTGGGGAACACGAGGGTCTCAGTCCAATCGACATACGGAGGGTATCAGACCTTCAGGCTAATTAGGTTCGATGCCAAACAACCTTTAGACGTATAGGCAACGCTAGTGAGCATGTTGTTCATATGCCAAAGGGTATCTAGTCACTTCAGACTAGATCGTGAAGAAGGATGATGGTTAAGTATGCTATCAAAAGCGTTAGACGATCTTCCGATACCCGTAGGAACAGGCATGTTGTAAGGCCAGAGGCCAGAGAACAGAGAACAGAGAGCAGAGAGACAAGCCAAGATCGTTCACTCAGCATTATCGGCTTGAGCGTTCCGTTGACTGTTGTACTTTTTGCTGGCTGCTAGTAACTACTGAACCAGTAGGTAGGTGTCTACTAAGCGCCTTGGTATGTCTTTCAGGGGTACCACCCTCCAGGAGCACTACGATATCTCGCGAATGATATGTGCGGAGTCGAGACATGCTTAGAGGGATGCAAATAATTCCTGTCCACGATGTAATGGCCATTGGCAATTAAAAATCAATGATATAACCCAGGTTCAGAAATATGATCATTATTATGATCGTACGTATGGTTGCATCTAGGGGTGCGACTCCTCGGCTCAGAACTGGGAAAATTACCCCCAAGACAGTCGCAAGTGTATTCCGAAGTATTATAAATACTGTCATGTCTTCCAGCACGTATTCATCGCCACAGACATGCGATCTTGAACAAGCACAAGGTTGAACATCGCGGGTAATGCATCGAAAACGTGATAAGAAGACCAAATTAACCGGCCGATGCAGAAGCGAGATGCCGGCACTAGTACTCCGGAAGCAACACAATCAGAGCCATTGCTCAACGTTGGTTAATATTACTCTACCAACCCTACCAGGGCCATACAGAAAAGGGTGAGCTAGTGAGCTAGTTCTTGATAGGAAGGCCAGGCGTGAGGGAGGGGAGAAGGGGGACGTGAGAAAAATGCAAGGCTCCAATCTTGGAAGGATGCTGCTCCAGCCCACAAGTCTTGGGCAGATGGACGGGTGGTGATTGGTATTCCGCCTAGTTCATACCCCGCGCAGGCGGAACCTACTAACACACCCACTGCCGGTGAAGGCATCCCGATGATACTACTTACTACTTTACTCTCCATAATATTAATTTAAGTAGTTACCTACTATCTACCATCCAGTGTCTTGGTCATGGGCTCAGTTCAAGCTGCCATTCCTATGGTCTAGTCGTGGGTCTTCTTTGTACTTACTACTAGACAATTAGCCCACGCCCTGTCACGGCAGTACCTACCTTACTCGCTTTGAATATAATGGAGGAAGATACTAGTCCAACACTTCAATCACCATAGAGAAAGGTGCCTGCGAAAATCAGCTGGTCACAAGGCAACCATCATGCAATGTGCGTTGCGGGTGGATCGCAGGAATCAATAATAACATTTGGTATCAGTTTCATAATGAGTATTATACCATTACATCCATCCAACCATACCTCAAGAGTAACAACATCAAGTCATCTCGGAGGACTCTGGAAGAAAGGTCGTGATTGGCTCTGCTGAATTTGATATGATGACTTAGCGAGCATTCAATTGGAGCAATGATCAACCCGATGCAAAGGTCACTTCTTGTCCTTTTAGCGAAGCCACTGCACCCTGCTGGCTTTCACATTCACGCCTCCAGAAGCTGGAACGCGACGTCCAGAGTCTCATCCGAGAGCGGAATCAAGCCTGCCATCCCCGGATGTATGGGGTAATACTACCAGCGATTCAGAATAGCCAAGGCCTTAGTAGAGGCCGCAGTCAACGCCTAGTACAATTTGGGACGGCGGCCGATTAGTTATGGGTTAAGACTTGGGCGATGGGCGTCGATCGGGACTTTCTGCTTTTCTAAGTATTACTGGTACGGAGTCCGCCTCCACAGCTGCGCTTGGAGAAGCTGATAAACAATGAATGGACCTTTCTCCAAGGGAGCAGTGACCACCCATAATCGACAATATTATACCAGGAAATCCTGCTCGCTTCATCAGGTTATCCGCGCCACAATGGATAACTTGGAATTGAATGCACAATGCACCTGTCCTCCACCAATATCTTCTGCTTTCTTCCCCTCCGTGGAGGTAACCAGATGACGGGCAAGTAAAATATTCGGAGTAGGAGCATGTATTGCATGTGTATCGAACCAGTAATGGTCGGGATCCACCTTGACAACACAGGAAGCTGGATCAATCCCAAACGATCAATTATTATTGTTCCCCATCGGGGAAGCCTAACTTATGCACATGAAAGGGGTAATTCACCAATTGTTGACGGAAAAATGATGTAGGCGTGCGTCTTTTTTTCTCCTTTCTTTTTTTTTTTTTTTTTTTTTCTTTCTCTTCATTCTTTCTTCCCATACCGTTTCTTTTTGCTCGCTTCGACGTGACATGCAATTGAGGAATTACTGAGTCCGGTATCTCCTTCAGTATGTGGCATATGCAAGACTTTAATCCACACATGTATGGCATTGTCGCTAAGTCGTAGATTAATGGGCTTCACGGGCTGAGTGGTTTGCCTTATGCGGATAGCTCCGCTGTTAAAATGTCACGTCCGTGACCAAGCTATTTTGGTGTGATCTCAGGTGTTAACCTGCTCCACGTGCGCATAGTGTTGTAGCTGGCTAGCTGGCAGCGCGTCTTAGTTGGATTGTTTTGGCCCTGGCTCAAGCGGCGTCTGCTCAGGAGACGGCGAGACTACATTTTTACCTTCAAAATAATAGATTGAATCCTAGAGAGGAAAGAAAAGATGCAATGGAGTCAATTAGGAAGGTGAGGGGAGAGAGAGAGAGAGAGTGTGTGTGTGTGTGTGAAGGCAATACGCGCCTCCTCTTTCGTTTCTTTTTTCTCTGTTTCTTTTCTTCCCTTTTTGCCTCTTCAACGTTCTTGAGCAAAAACAGATCGAAGTCGCAGTCCCCTTCGAATATAATGCGGAACGGCTACTCCGTACTCCGTAGCCAATTCCATTTCTGCAAATCATCTTCGTCTCGGGGATGTGTTGTGTAAGTGAAAACCCTCTCGCGCCATCGATGAAATATATGCGATGGCTGGTTTAATTATCCCAGGTTGGATAAAGAAGATTGGCCGCTAAATTATCATCTACAGGTATTGCGACATCACTCAGCTCAGCTCACCTTATTTTGCCGAGGAACTGCCCTTAGTGGCACACCACATCCCCCGGTGGTGAGTACTACTACTTTCTTTGATCCCCTACTGCGACTCCCACTGGAAGGCGTATCGGAGAGATGGTAATGCTCGGTACTAGCATTGATACCTACCGTGGACCTGTCTTTGGACACCGTATGGAGCAGACACTCCCGTTCTTGGCTGCATTGGGGATATGATTCCCACCACGGCTCTGCGGCTCACCCCTCCGTCCTTTGTTGTTGTGGAGCAGAAGATGGAGCCATGGATATGGTTATTTGTTGTAAGTGAATTAGACGAAAATCAGGAAAGCGACCGACGTCGCCCCATCTCCAACAAATTCAAAATCCAAAAAAGAATGGCAGGGAAATCTCTCGAAGGGAGCCAATGGGGAGATCAGCAATTTCTCACGGCGCTTTAGGATTTTGATTAAGTCGGTAGACTAAGGCACCTTTAAGATGATGGGGACACTTTTAGTCGCAGGTCGGAAATCGGTACGCCAATCCGTGCCTGATGATTGACCGTGACGACTCTCTGGTAGCGAAAACCTTGTGCCTGCTGCGCTGCTGCGATTTTAGGGGGGAAGGGACGAGATCAAGACGGCATATCGCGCGATTAACGAGATTGTGTCCTGACCGATTGACCATATGAGATTTTCGGCGCCGCCATACCAATAGGGAATTTGCGAGCATGATGGAACGGAGGACTCCGCGCTCCGTCCGGTAGTCGGACTTGCGCATCTGAACCTCTTCTGGGCCTCGCTCTTAGATGCCTTTTTTCCTCCCACCGGCCCACAACGGAAGATCAGACTGTCTGTCTACGCCGCCGATGCTTCCCCAACTAATATCGGCTACACTACTAGGTAGCTACCTTCCCTAGTGTTAACGATAAGGCCCAAGCTCCAAGAACAATGACTCAAATTGTTTCTAACGACCGGAGGGGGGAGCTCGACGATAATCGTCGGCCGCAAGCCCACCTTTCGGGCCAACTGACTCTTTTGGTGACAGACAGACAGACAGAGACACAGACAGACACAAGACACAACAAACTCTTCCCCCCCAGGGTTTCCTTATGTAATCGCGTCTCCATATTTGGTCAGCGACTGCGGAACGAATCAGTAGGCCGAGTTCCTCCGTAGGCCAAATTCCACTTATCGCGAAAGACGGAGTACAACGTGTCAGTCTTATTATTCATGACGAGCGAGCGTTTTAATATGCGATAAATACTACCTATAGTTCCGAAGTTGCGGACCGCCAAGACCACACCCCTGCCTGGTTCAGGATAGAGAGAAAAAGAGAATGGGCCACCTTTGCGACCCCCTCGCCGACTTTAACCAGGATCTCCCGGGCTCTACTTTTCTCACTGGTGTATATTGGTTAGCAGAACGGCTACTGCAGAGATAAACCCATGTTTTCTTTTTTCCTTTTTTTTTTTTTTTTTTTTTTTTTTTTTTTTTTTTTTTTTTTTTTTTTTCCCCCTTTCTAGATTTCGATCATTTTTGATTTTTGGCCCCCTGTCTTCTCGTAAACATACGCGATCACGAGCTCACAGATTACATGTTCCATGCATGTTCTACGCCCGCTCGAACACAGAGAAAAAGCCAGAGCATAATGATTACAGGCTACCAGGATGACTGATGAGGCTTGAAGGGCTGGCTGGCAGCGTCGGCGCCGGACCAAGCCATTCTTATTACGTTAGGCCTTACCGGAACCTACTCGACCGTGTCCAATCTTGACCCCCCGTGATACTATCTGCGGAATTCCCGACTTCCGCATATTGAACTAACGATTAGTCCCAAGGCTAGCCCGCTCACGGTCCTGGTCCTGGACCTTGACCCAAGCTTAGGGAGGAGTTGGGACTTGGGACTCATTGGGAGGGCTGACCTTAGTGGTTAGCGCACCCGAACTGGAACCACCCTCCTAGTAGTTTAGTTTTCTCTCCCGCGACATCGGCCTAACTCCGTTCGGGGCTAGCGGTATATACCTAAACCTGCATTTGCTTTAGGAGCTGTGATTGGCGTTGGTCAACAAGTAAAATACCTCACTAGTAACTGGTTGGTACCGGGGAGGACCAGTAGTGCGGCCCACCAGTACGGAGTACATACCGGTACCCTTTCCCCTGGAGGTACGTAAGATGGTACTTCCGGGTACATCAAACAATTTCCCCCCAAGGTTGTTGTTGTTGTTTTTGTGCTTATCCTATCTGGACCAAGAAGGCAGGTACATAACAGCTGAGCTGCAGACACACCAGACTTGACAGTAGTGGATAGATACCGACTATACTACTATCACTCTCTTTCTCTGATAATCAATTTTCCTCGGCGGGTTTATTTCCCCTCTCGAAAGAAAAAAAAAAAAAATTAAAACAGTACTACTCTCGCGACTCCTGTATTTAACATGGGGATTTCACACCTTAGCTGAGCAAGACATCCATTGTCAGAGGGCTCGTCCAGCTGGGAAAATACATCCACTCTCACCGTGACCCTTCAACCAGACTGGACTGGACAGGTCGGGAGTCCCCACTCCACCCTCCCGAACAGAGAGAGAGAGAGAAACGCGGATGGATTGATTTCCTTGAATATTACGCGATATCTTACAGTAAGATAGTGAGGTAGCACTCGGCATCCCTCGAGTCACCTGCGCTGTCAACAAACCAGCACGATAACGCGATCCCCTTCAGTTTTCCCCTCATCTTTTCATCCATGCTGGCTGTTTGTTCTCCGTGGAAAAGCGACCACAGGAGGTCCCGCTGCCAATACCTTTCTCCTCTCCCAAGCGTATCTGTCCATCCATGGATGGCGCTCTGAATCGCGTCGCCGCAAACCGGAGCTTTTACAGGGCGCGCCATCTCGCTTGGCTGGACTAACTCCCCGCAGTCGATTATTGAGCCTCCCCTTGGGCTCTTCAACCCCGGATAATCTTGGCCCTCCTTGCGTGCCCGGATCGGCAAGGCTTGGTTCGCTACCTAGCTTGCTATCTGGAAAGCTACTGGAGCGAGATGAATTTCTGCTTTCTGGATGTCCCTTTTCCCGGGCGTCGGCAAGTAAAGAGAATGCCCAGGTAGCTCGGCAAGACAGCTTCCCCATGGTGCCCCCACGCACTACTACCAGATGGTGTGTTCTCCGGACCCGATCGATGGATGTGCCGAGGCTCACAAGTCGAGTCGAGTCGAGTCAGTCCATAATAGCGGAAGCTTCATCCACCTTGAAAGCATACCAGGAAGTATGATAGATCTCAGATAGACACCGCAGATCTGAAATCGCACCTGGAATTGCTTGTTTGCTATATGTCAGCCCCGCTGCAGCTAATGACAAGTGGAAGGAAAATTATCCTCCGTGGGAAATGCACTTTATGCTGTCATTTCTCCGGACTCTAAATGCTTCTGCGGGGTTAATCTGGTAGTATGAGAACAATTGCCTCTGGATGCAATGCGTATAAATCAGCAGGGTTGTCAATTTGACAGTATCTAGCAGTCAAACGCCCTCGTTTAGAGGTAAATCAAGCAACCATCAATCATGTTCGTAAAATGGCAATTTCTGGCCCTCGCGGCCGTTCCGATGATTCCGGCATACCCTTCTGGTGCTGCTCATAAAGAAGAATTTGATTGGGACTCGACGAAATACCTGTTCGTGCTTGCTATCATCTTCTTACCGTATTCTAAGAGCCGGTAGAGAGAAGTTGCTGATTCATATGCCAGCATCGCCTTCGGTGACTCGTATACATATGTTCAAGGAACCGATGGACTACAGAACTATAGTTTCATCGGGGATTTACAGCACTTTGCATATGACCCACACACGCTGCTGACTGACAAAATTGTCCAGAATCAGGTGACAACCAATTCATTTCTCTTTGCAATAGACCAACACCTCATCAAAACACTACTGATGCATCCACAAACCGTAGACCGCAACCGCAGAAGGCGGACCCAACTGGGTAGAATACCTAACAGGCTGCGGTCTCGACCAGGGCCTCACCTCGCCCTCCGACTGCGACCTACAACTATGGGATTTCGCATTCGCAGGATCAGACATCTCAGTTGAATAGTACGCCCCGCACCTACATTGAAGCCATACACACACTATCTCCTAACTCTAACCCACCCCTCCCTCCCCCCAGCACCCCCCTCCACCACAACTTCACCGTCTCCCTCGTCAACCAAGTCAAACAATTCACCACCTACGCCCAACCCGTCCTCAAAAACACCATAGACCCCTCCCACACCCTAATCGCCATCTGGATCGGCATCAACGACATCGGCGACAGCTCCAAATACGACGTCGACTTCCCAACCTTCTACAATGACCTCATGAACACCCTCTTCTCCTCCGTCCAATCCATCTACTCTCAAGGCTACCGCTCCTACCTCTTCATGAACCTGCCCCCGCTAGACCGCAGACCCGGAAACCTAGGTAGCGCTGATCCCAGCCCCAACGCGACACAGATCACCTGGTACAATGATGCGTTGGCGCAGCATGCCAGTGCATTTGGTGCTCGCTACCCTGATACCAATGTCATGTTGTTTGATGCGCATAGCGAACTCAGCTATATTCTGGATCACCCGGGCGAGTTTGGGATTGTGAATATCACGAACTTTTGTGCTGGTTATGATCAGCCGGATATTGCCTGGGATTATCGAAAGTATGGATGTCCGACGCCCTTGGATACGTATTTCTGGTTCAATTCCGGACATATGACCAGCCATGTTCATGAGATTTTGGCGGGGAATGTGGGGAGGTTTTTGTTGTTGGGGGAGTAAGTAGTTGGGGTGAGATGGGTAATAATAGTATGTAGTTAGTAGTGGTTTGGTCAGTTGGATATTTTTCTAGGGGCTAGGAGGGAGGATTTTATATAGCCATTAGTAGTAGTACTAGTAGTAGTAGTACTAGCTGGCTGGCTGGCTCTTCACTGCTCGAGATATGATACTAGCTGAATTGAAGTTACTAGCATCCAAGATATATAGTAATCACAATGGGACTCATACTAAATCACATAATTTAATTGACCAGTGAAATCAATAGAAGTACTGCCATTCAGCAAAACAAGAAATCGACTTCCCACTTACTAAGTAATAATAACTTCCCACCCAATCTTTAATAATTTGAACGTAAACCAGTAGTACTTATAGTGAAGAAGAGTGCGGTACTAGCTTCTTAGATGAAAACCCGAAAGCTAAAAATTATATCATACTACTACTACTACTACTACTACTGTCACCTACCAGCCACATATAAATAAATTAAGTAAAAGAGTACTGAAGTGGGAAAGAAAAATATCGAAACAAGTCTGTGCCTACCTCTCACCCAATCCCCATAAATAAATGAAAGAAGTAAAGGAAGAAGGGGGAAAAAAACAGCAAGATAACTAGAACCGAACCGTTACATTGCAGGTGAGGTGGTACTTTCAAACCTACCTAGTATACTGGTAACTAACTATCTGGTGATGGTCAACTACCAAGCACCTACATGCATACTACATAGTAATCACGTCATTAGAAAGAGAAAACCAGGATCAGATCCTTGTAATCATAACCCTACTGCCTGCGGATTATTACGATAGATCGATTCAATACATACATACATAAATACATACAAATACCCAGTTACCAGTTACCAGCAAATGGGTACTTAATACGATGAATATATAAACCCCCACTCACTCCAAACAAGGGTCTATAACAAGGATAATGCATGTTGTTTGGGGATATGCCAACCAACCAGCCAGCTACCTAACCAATTAGTACTAATACTACTGTGTACAAAGTGGTCAATCCGCTTACCCGGTGCCTCTGTCTCCTGTGTGGCTGCTGCGGCGTTATGCAGCCACCGCCTGTTTCAATCTGGCGTGCTTTGTACTGCTGCTGTCGCTGTCGTATTCCTCGTTGCTTTTTTATTTCACTCTCGGGGATGGAGGGGGTGTTGCAGATCGAGGCTGGATAGCAGGAATCGAGCCCGTACTTTGCTATCGAGATGCATCGACTTCATGTAGTTGACTTGTAGGAGTTTATGTGACGGTGTGAAGGCGTGCCCGAGGGAGGCACCAGCAGTTTTGTCTACAGGTAGAAAATGTAATGACAGTTTCAATAATGCTAAACAGAAGCAGATAGGTACAGTTTCTCTCCAATTATCAGCATGCAAGTGAAAGCTACACACTATCTAGTCCCATCCGTTCCGGGAACATGCCAACTGATACATAACTTTTTGTTTGATAAACCACAACAAAGAAATGAGATAATTAACGTGTATCCATGAGAAATATCAGTGCACAATCGTGTAGGTTTCGAGGTCACCCATTGTCGGGGGAGCCTGTTGTTGTAAACTGAGCAAAACACGCGAATAGTCTATCGTGATATCGACGAACGCCGCCCGTACCGTGGTTACGAAAAAGGAATCATGCGAAGGAAAATGAACGTCTACCGATGTGAGAATGGAATACAAGCTCAGTGAATGAACTGAGCAACGAGGTCAAAAGGTTACCAGCGACGGTTGCCACCAAGAGGAGCAGCATTGGAAGCAGTGAAGTGGTTGCCGCGGCCACGGCCACCACCACGGCCACCCCAGCGGCCATAGCCACCGTGGCCATGACCACCGCCGCCACTGTAGCGGACCATCTCGGCGAGACGGGGGTCAATCTGCTGCTTGGCCTCAGTGAGAATGGTGACCAAGTCACGAGCCTGCTTGGAGTCTGCGAGAGGTGACATGTCAGCATTATGCTTCGATCAGACCATCTGTGATGGAAGAAGTAACTTACTGTCAGTGGTAAAGAAGGTGATGGCGGTACCCTTGGCACCGGCACGACCAGTTCTACCAATACGGTGAACGTAGTCCTCCGAGTTGTTGGGGTAGTCATAGTTGAGAACGTGTGTGATGTCGCGCACATCTTCAAACACATGTAACGTTAGCAAACAGAGCATTAGTCAATTGAGCAACGTGGCTTAGGAGCCTTTCTCAGTCGTATGAGACTTGATGCATCTCTCTCTCTCGCTCGGACTTAAAATCATCAAAAGATCCGTGACAGACGAGTCCGAGGGTGGCAGATATCGTGGTCCTAGAGCAACCTTGGAATGCAGCTTCAACGAGTCGGCAAGAGAGGAAGTTTCCCTCCCTCTACCGGCCAAGTTTTTAAAGGGTTGATATGGTGAATCAGAACAGAAGAGTAATACGTCTGCTACACTGCACTGTGAGTCCAAGGCCCTCCTGGCTTGAGAACCATTTCAGGAGACCCGACAAAGCCTGGAAGAGTCATACACACCAACAATTGGTGGAAGAGAGTTAAGCACCGTGCCATGGTCACGCAACCTCAATACGGGTGAAAGTGACTTGGCGGCAAGAAAGGAAGGGGGGAAGGGGGGAAGGGGGAGGGGGGGGAGTTTGCGATTTATTCATACCGATACCACGGGAAGCCACATCAGTAGCCACCATGATTGGGCTCTTGCCCGTCTTGAACTCGTTCAAGACCCAATCTCTCTCTTGCTGTTGCTTGTCACCGTGAATAGCTGGAACGCACGTTAGCAAATGGCGCTTTCAGTGTCAGGATCAGGGGAGCTTACAAAGTGCCGGCCATCCGTCCTGGCGGAGGAAGCGTGTGATCTCGTCAGCGATGCGCTTGGTGCCGGTGAAGATAAGGCACTTGTTGCCGCGGTTCTCCATGATCTTCTCGAGGTGCTTAATCATCTTGTCGCGCTTCTCGAAGTCCGAGACGACCTCGACGATCTGGGTGATACGGTGGTTGGCCGACAGATCCATGGAACCAATGTTGACCTGGATGTAGTCGTTGAGGAAGTCAGAGGCAAGCTGACGGACCTCCTTGGGCCACGTAGCGGACCACATGCAAGTTTGACGGTCAGGGCGAATCTGGGAGATGATCTTGCGGATCTGGGGCTCGAAACCCATGTCCAGCATGCGATCGGCCTCATCCAGGACGAGGTAGGTAACACGACGAAGGTTGGTGCGACCAGCCTCGAGCATGTCAATCAGACGACCGGGAGTCGCAATGCAAACTTCGACACCACGGCTCAGGTCACGGATCTGAGGACCCTTGGGAACACCACCGTACACACAAGTGTTGCGAATACGAGAAGACTTTCCGAACTTGGAGATCTCGGCCTGAATCTGAACGGCCAATTCACGGGTGGGGGCGAGGATAAGGACAATGGGGCCGTCACCGGGGGCGAGAAGAGGCTGGGCGTTGATGTGAACGATGGCAGGAAGACAGTAGGTCAGGGTCTTTCCGGAACCCGTCTCAGCGATACCGACGACATCGCGACCAGAGAGGGCCATGGGCCAACCCTGAGACTGGATAGCGGTGGGGCGGTCGAAGCCCTGGGCCTTGACCTCGCTAAGGACGTACTGAGGGAAACCAGCCTCGTCGAAGGTCTCGACGGGGCGAGGGACGTTTCTTCCCTGAACAGCCATCTCGTGCTTCTTACGGAACTCGTCGACATCACGCTGAGAGCGCTCGGCGACATCGGCGTGTTCCTTGTAGAAGGACTTCTCGAATTTTGGCAGGGAGTCAAGGTCCCATTCCTGCTTCTTCAGACCAGAGCCCAGGTTGGACATGCGGTCTCCGCCAGCACCGCCGGCACCACCTCCTCTGCCACCATAGCCGCCGCCGCCGTAGCCGCCGCCGCCATAGCCACCACCGCCGTAACCACCACCACCACCGCCGCCGTAGCCTCCACCGTTGGAGTAACCGTTACCGTTACCGTAGCCGCCGCCGCCGCCGTTTCTGGAGCTATATGGCATGTTAGCAAGCATGTTCGTCCGAGATATACAGGTTCTCGACGTAGTGTCGAGAAGAGCAGGCAGGTCTCGAAAGAGTTGACGGTTGACAGGATCGCGTGACAACCCGCACCGCAAGCCAGGCTGGAATAGCCAGGAAGCGATCACAGTCGCGATTCAAGTCGCACAGCCATAAGGCTGGCTTGCACTCGAGCAATCCATCTAGACCAGTGCTCTGATTGCAGAGGATAACTTACCGGTAGGAGTCGCGCTGGTAGCCGCCGCCACCGCCGTAGGAAGACATAATGATGTTATGTGAAGGAAGAAAAAAACAAGTTTTTTTTGGGAGGTTAGAAAAAACCGGGGGCGTCCAACAAGACCACGATGAGACGGGACTGGAGCGAGGGAATTAACAAAGAGTAGTCTGAAGGAAGTAACACAACCTTCAAAGACGAGGAGATAGAGGGAGGAGAAAGAGAGGAAGGAGAGAAAAAGACACACAGAGAGAGTGAGGGAGAAAGGATGAAGCAGAAGATGGAAGGAAGAAAGAAAAAGGGAAGCGACGGGCGGGAACCAAGCGAAGAAAAGAAAAGAAAAGCAAAAACCGGCGGAGGCAAACACTCGCCCGTTGCGGCTTAGCGCAGGGGATTTGGCGCAGAAAATGCGTTGAAGCTGCATGCTGATTGGCCCCCGCCGCCACCGCTGATTAAGGCGGAAGGCGATGGTGTTTCCACTTTCGACTTTTGTTAGTCTAGATTGCGAGGAGAACGTAGGACAGTCAGATCTTTTCATGGCCAGCTATAAGCATATTGGGGTCATTTATGCAGTCGATGTCATTGTACATAGTCTATAAATCCTATCTTAATTTGGCTTGCCCTGCATTTTCCCTCATCTGAGTAGCTGCTCGGTTTCCCTTCTCTCTACAAGTGTTTGCCACCCAGTCCCATGTCCCAGAAGCTAATCTCCAACTCCGTCGCTCGTATGAAGATCTTGATCAATTCTTCAACCCGACTGGGCGAAACCTGTCGCATATGCGTCTCAAGTAGTTCTAAGCCAATGTTAGCCATTTCCACGGCCGT